ACCACTTTGGCTATGGCTGCCTCAGAGGAGTCGACGGGGGAGAGGGCGGGCCCCCGAAACCATCTTATCACCAGCAAACTGGTTGATCCACTATGTGACTGTGCTGCTTGTGGGGTTAAGTTTGTTGTGGCCCCTTGGACTGATGAAGTCCTTTGGATGCAGGACGAAACATCTCGACAACAACAACAAAAAAGAAACCGTCCAGATGACCTGACTGAACTTTGTTGGGTTTCACTGGGTCTTTTATATATACACTGGTAAAGGTAACACCCTAATAGTGACGTGTGTTTGTGTTCAGGTCTTCCTGATGAATGTTTGCCTGTTTTGGAGCGATGTTTAAAGAATGGACACATCAACGTCATGCCGGATCAGCTGACTGTGAACCAGTATGAGTCGGGTCAAGGTGAGTTTCTGTCAGACTTTATTCCACACGGACGTCAACATTTAATACATAGTGAATAAATAAAAGGACTTTATATTGTGGGGAGCATCAAACTTGGACTGTGTTGGAAATGTTCACTCATTCACTCACTTCATCACGGTCACTGTAGGAAAGTAGATAAGGAATAAATGGAACTGTGGTGTTCCTGAATTTCCAACTCAACTTGAAGGCAGCGTAATTCATCGTTATGTTCTGAGTATTCACGGTCAGGTGGGACATAAATAAGCACCAGCGCTGGAATAAACACCTGAATCTGAAGTGATGGACAACAAATACGATACAACAAAATGTATTTAAAATGATCTGTCTTCATAACGGGCAGCACGGTGGTGCAGTTGGTTTAGCTGCTGCCTCTCAGCGAGAAGGTCGCCTGGTTCAAATCCTGGCCCGGGGCCTTTCTGGGTGGAGTTTGCATGTTCTCTCCGTGCATGCGTGGGTTTTCTCCAGGTACTCCAGTTTCCTCCCACAGACCAAAAACATGCATGTTAGGCTGATTGGTAACTCTAAATTGTCTCTATGATTGAGAGAGTGAATGGTTGTTTGTCTCATTTGTCTCTATGTGTCCCTGTGATGGACTGGAGACCTGTCCAGGGTGTCCCCCACCTCTCACACTGTGATTGCTTTTCGTGATCCAAAAAGGAAGAAGCGGGATGGATGATGGATGGATGAATGATGGATGATGGATGAATGATGCATGGATGATGGATGGATGAATGATGGATGGGTGGATGATGCATGGATGATGGATGGATGATGCATAGATGATGAATGGATGATGCATAGATGATGGATGGATGATGGATGGATGGATTAATGATGGATGG